AAAAAAACACAGATAAACATCAATTTTTGTATGTCACGTGGTATGTTGAATGCAGCACTGACCCTTTTTTTTTTATACATTCTTTTCAATGTCCTAATTTCCTGTCATACCAATCAATTGAAGTTTCTTAAATTTTTTATGCTTTTCTTTAATTTTCTCTTGTACCCTTTCTGAGCCAGCCTGATTTTTTTCTACTTGCAGCCACCATTTTCTTTCTATAAAGAATATGTTGATTTTCGGTATTTAAAAAATTTGCACATTTGATCAATGTCTCTAACTAACTTAGATGCCCAATTAACAACAGATAATCCATGTTGCATCCCATCAAAATTTGTAACCAAAATATCATTATTCCTTATCTCCATATGCAGTAAAACATTAAACCTAATAGAGCAATGATCACTTGCACTCATATGTTCCCCAATATCCACCCTCTCAACAATTTCTATGTTAGGAGTTAACAATAAATGGAAAATAGCATTGTTTCTAGTAGGTTCCTTGACCAATTTGTGAAGAAAACCATCTTGAACAGTTTCCAAAAATCTTTCTCCATCATGGTTTGACTATAGCATTTCCCAATATATATATGCCTGAAATTAAAATCACCCATATTTATGACCTCGTTAACATCAGAATTCTTAAACTTACTTTAAAGTTTCTCACTAATTTCATCAGTAACATCTGATGGTATTTAACAAATTCCCAATAAAAGCCTTTTCCTTTTATGACCACACATAGAAACCCAGATGGATTAAACCTCTTTGCTATTACTTTTGATATCATCAACTTCAACAGGATGTAACTCACATTTTATATATAAAACTACTCCCCCCCCCCCCGTTTTTAGTACTCTATCCCTATTAAATGACCTATAACCTGTATTTCAAAGAAATTTCTGTCCTCAAAATTATCTACATTTAATCATGTTTCAGTTATTCCCATTATATCAAAATCATCCATTCCTACCAATGCCCTAAAGTAATCTATTTTATTTCTTGTACTTGTAGCATTATGATAATAACAATTAAGCCTATTCCTAAAACTACTTCTATACTTATTTCTTATGCTAAACTTTTGTGTATTTGTTATTTTTTTGCATTTAGGTTTTCCTGGCCCTCACCACTGTTTAGTCCTAGTTTAAATCTTCCCTTATAGCTAATTTAATAGCCCTTGCAAACAAGCCAGCCCCTATCCTATTTAAATGTAAACCATCCATTCCAAAAAACTCCCTTCTCCCATTGAACAGATCCCACAAGTCCAATCTGCCTATCTGCTCATTCTTACACGTTACATATTAATTTGAGCCAAGCATATAGCCCTAGTACCTTGCCAAGGAATCACTTATAACTATAACATCCTTCTCTGACACTTTTGTTTTCCTTCCCTCCAACAGTTCCTCATCTTCTTAAGTCAAGGGCTGAACTCTGTTGCCCAATAGAACAGGTTCTTTACAATTAAATTCACTACTTTTAGCCCTAATTGTATTATTTTTAACTTCCAGAAAGTCATTGTTACTGTTAGCTGATGTATCCCTTACATGTAAAAGCTTAAGCTCCTCTTGAAATCCTGCAACCATTTCCTACAGTTTACCATTCTCTTTGTCTATTGCCTCTACTTTAATTAGGATAGCCGCCAACTTCTCCTCTAACCTATAAACTCTAAATAAAAATTACATGCCTTCTCTACTAGTTCTACCTTCCTTAAAAGTACATACCAGTCCAAAGTTCCCAAATAAAACCCACTAATTGCACCTATCACACCTAACAAACTGTGAATACTTAAGTCCGACACTAGTCTTAACCATTGTATTTGTAGCCTGGAAATAAATAACCAATACTAAATGTAAATACTAGTAGTTTATTGCCAACACTAATATTGTTAAGCCTAACATTTTAGAATCAAATAATTTTGAAATTTGAAATATATTAGTTAAAATAACACTACTTTATGTTCACACTAAATTAAGTTTATATTTATAGCAGTGACAAATATGATGTTTATGTAATACTACTATTAATAGTAATAATCATATATTAACAAAGTGTATTTAGCCTGATTTATAATCAACCTAAACTGAATATAAACTAATGGATCTAAATATAATCCCTAAAACATGAAAAGACAATTAATTAGTATTTGTTTAATAAAACAATGCATTTGACTAGTTTATGATTTACCAGTAAGAAGAATTACAGCTAAGCCTAAAAGTACAATTGCATGGCTTAAGCTTAATGTAACATTGTAGTACAGATTATACTACTAAGCTCTTATTTAAAACTAACCTTACTATTTTTCTTTACCAATCTTACCAAATGTAGTTAATCTTTTGTTATTCAATAAAAATTGCTATAAATGACAATATTAATATTAAACAATAGTCCAAAATCTATTAACAGCTGAACTTTCCAACATCTTCAATTTTCCGTAGCATACAATTGATAAATGTAAAAATGTTTTTAAGAAAATTGTCCTTGGGCTTGGTCTAATAAGAAATAAATGAAGATATCATATTGGCATTTGTAACCAGTTCTTTTATTTGTCTGTAACCTATGTGTTTAAATGTATTTTGTAATTGATCTGTTTGGTTGTCTGGTAAAACTTTACATTTATTATAGGTTGCTTGAGTTGTTTGGCTAATGCCTGTTTTACGAGGAATAGAATTACATGCTCTGACAGTTTTTTAAAATTTCTGATAATATATAGAACTTATATTTATTTTGTGTATCATGCATTGCTGTTTGCTGTTATTAATTAATTACACGTTGGGACCTGAAAGATGGTGAACTATGCCTGAGCAGGATGAAGCCAGAGGAAACTGGTGTAGATCTGCAGCAATTCTGATGTGCAAATTTACTGGTGCTGTGTGATGAATCAAAAAGCTGGATTACAGTGCCCGATGCAGGTTTCTTTGAAAAGATTACTGCTTATGTAGATGAGGGTAAGGGTGTAGATTTGGTGTATCTGTATTTTCAGAAAGCATTTGACAAGGTGCCACATAAAAGGCTTGTAAAATAAATTGTCTCTATAGGTGTGGGGATAAGTTAGCAAATTGGATAGAAGAGTGGCTGGATTGAAGAAAGCAGAGTGTTGTTACAAATGGAGTTCAGTCAGACTGGATTAATGTCACAAGTGGGGTACCTCGGGGCTCAGTCTTAGGACCTTTGCTCTTTTTAATTTACATCAATAATATAGATGAAGGAGTAGTCAATAAAATTTGCTGAGGATATTAAGGTCTTGGGTGTTTCTAGCTGTGAAGAGGATGCTGCTATTTTAGAAAAAGATTTAGATCATTTAGTGAATTGAGCAAATATATGGCAGAGGGGTTTTAATTATAATAAATGCAAGATAATGCATGTGGGTTACCATTATTTGAATAATAAGTATAATTTGGATTGGAATAACCTTAATAGTATTATGAAGGAAAGGGATCTTGGTGTAATAGTTGATCAGTCTCTAAAGCCATCCAAGCAGTATGCTGTTGCTAGTGGTAACACAAATAGGATTTTAGGCTGTATCTACAAAAATATTGAATACAATTCTAAAGAGGTTATAATTTCATTGTACAGGTCACTGGTTTGGCCACATTTGGAATATTGTGTTCAGTCTTGGGCTCCTTACCTTAGGAAAGAAATCAAATTGTTGGAAAGGGTTCAGAGAAGGGTTACAAGAATGGTGCCTGGGATGGAGGGGTTGTCATATGAAGAGAGGCTCAAATCTCTCAAATTATTTTCTCTTGAATAAAGAAGAGCTGGGAGGGGGGATCTGATTGAGGTGTTTAAGATTGTAAAGGGAATTGATGGTGTTGATGCATCATCATTTTTCATATTTAGTAGTGAGAATAGTAGGACTAGGGGTCACAAGTATAAATCTTGGCAGGGTAGGAGTCGTCTTCAGGTGAAACAGTATTATTTTTCTAACAGAGTGGTTGGACTCTGGAATAGGTTGCCTTCAGATGTTGTAGAGGCAGTAAATTTAAATGATCATAAGAAAAAGCTTGATAAGTATATGAATGATAAGGGCTGGCTTTAAGTTTTTTTTCTAAAGTTAATATAGTTTAAGAGTGTGGAACAGCCGAGATAGACTAATAGGTCCTATGTTATCCCAAAACATTATGTTAAAGAGAGAAAGAGTTATGTGTGATAGTCTGATAATCTTGATTTTTGTAGTTTGCACAGACATATTTATAAGTTGTGTGGTAGAGAGATTTAATCATTACCAAGAGCTTTCATTGTATATAGTTTTAAGAATCAACTTTAGCTGAGTTTTACTAATCAAGTGATTTTGCAAAAAAAAGATAAAGAAAATTAAAGGATTATGATATAGTAGTGGATTTCCACTAGGGTATAAAGAGTCAGCAAATCCATTTGCTTCATGCAGAATTACTAACAGGAGTAATAAAAATCTTTATCATTTTTGATTTGTTTCTCCAGTTTTCTGACTGCATCAAGAAGGCTTATCAGACTAGCTTCTATCATTTAAAAGACCTGAGGAGAATCAGGAACAGCTCACTTTGAACACTGCTATATCTATTGCAGTAGCTATTGTTAGTAGTAGTTCAAACCAGTGGTTTCCAATCTGTATCCAACTAGGGTCTAACTATATCCAATCCCAAAATGTTATGAACTGATTATTACAATACCAACTTTTTTAAGTACTTTTAAGTTACATTTTAAAATAGTATACTTTAGTAGCTATATTTTAAAACACTTTTTTTTCAGCTATCTTGCAGAGTGGCTGAAAATTTCTCAGTTGGGAACCATAGGTGTAAAATACTCTAACTATGTTATTTGGCATTGACTAGAAAGATATGAAAAGGCTATAGATTGTCCAAAATTATGTTTCAGCTTTGTAATCATAACAGAAAAATGACTAGTGTTTTTAATAAACAGCTTATTTATTTGTCAGGTAACTTTGTAATATCACAGCTTATAAATACTGTATGTCTACCTCACATATCTAGATCTTGCATATGCAACTACAAAGGTCTATGCAGGAGAGATCAGCCCCGCAGTTAGTACAACCTCTCTCAGACTTGCATTCACACTTGATAAGCTCACTGCAGGCCCTTACAGTTTCAAGAAGAGTCTCCCAGACAGGTTTTCTGGTAGAGTTTTCCTTGATCTAGCCCCAGTCTTCTGATGTGGATAGCATTTGGATGGCTTGTTGGCTTGTAGTTCAGATGCTGCTGTGATATACAATTCACTTTACAGGTTTTAGCAGGTCATCAAAGACCGAAATAACAGGTACAAATGTCACTGAAAACATTTTGATGTTCATCACCATAAACAGGGTTTATTTACAATTGAATTATAGGTAGCAGTCAAATAAAATTTTGAATATATTTAGAATGTTTACTTCCATTTGTGCTATGTGTTTCACACATCTGTAGATATGTATACCAGTGTATCTGAGTTGGAGGTAGATCTTTCTGTTTTTTTGTTTGTTTTTTTTTTTCTCTTCTTGCTGAACAACTATCTGCATGCCTCATTAACTGACACAAGGATGCTTATCTTGTCATAGGGTATCACTGTGAACTGCTCTAAGATAATGAAGTGAGGAGATGTGAGACTCGCTGGCTCATACAGTAATTTTAGCCAGAAAGAGAAAACCTTTGGTGGCCTTGGGGTGGGAGTTTCAGGCTGCTTATGCTGAGTTCTTGGCTTTGTCAAAGATTGTTGTGTCACACTCAATAAAGGCAGGGAATGCAAAAAGAGAATTAGCTTTGTCTTTCCTGAGTTGGTGTAGAGAGTAATAATGTATTAGTACTTGAAATTTTTGCCAGCACCAAAGGCTACTCAGATGTCAGCCACAAAGCCAAAAATTGTTCTGAATTTTCATCTGAATATTAAATATTAAAAGTCTGTACAATTCAACCAAATGCTGCACCCAGGCAGTTTTTTTTTTCTGCAGTCCTGGTTTTCCCACATTAGATATCCTCATATGATTTAAAACAAATTTAAAGCTTTTGTAGCAATTATTCCAGTGAAGCACCTGACCATACAGTTAAAGGTTACATTCAAAATCCTTTTACAACTTGCACATATCTTAAACATAAAGCTGAAGTTTGTTCTATTAATTTGTGAATTACATTATTGTACTGCTTTTTCACTTCTTGGTTTAGTCAGTCTCTTAAAACAACAAATATGTTTAATTTTAATCTTGAGGTTGATGAATTTTTATAATGTACTGTTTTGCAGCTGCTTTGCAAGTTCACGAAGGATTAGTAAAATTGTTAATATTATGGGGTGTGCAACATCACTGAATGTATCTAAGCATGAATGTATGAGTGGAAAAGGAGTTACACACACAGTATTTGTATAATAGTTTGTCCTGTATTTTGGTCATGTTGTATGCAGCCAATGCTTTTCTATTGTTGGATATACAAGATTGTTTAGTGTATGAGTTATTAATCAGTTTATTTAGTGATTTAATATTTAATGAATATTTAGTTTTCGTAACAAGACTGTTAAAAGTTAATTATTTTAAAGCAATAGTTATGATTCATACAGAGTTACACAAGTTTTGTTACATAACTGTAAGAATCTTACATTGTATATGTAGTTTAATTCTTTTACTAGAGTTTTCTAATATTGTTGACATCATCTTCGTCGAAGTTTTTCTTATTATGTGTGTAATGTTGTAACTAGAGGGCTACATATTTCTGTCGTATGATATAAATGTGTGCAGGTACAGTTAAGCTATTGAAAGTTTAAGTGAAGTTAGACTACATGATTTTTAGTTTAGTCATGATAGGTGATTTCTAAAATGAGTTTCACAGCTTGTATTCTAATAAAAGAGCTAGAGGAGAATAATTTGTTCTGTCAAAGGGTGTTCTAAAGTGGTTGAACCCAGTTGTGTGAACTGCGATGAAAAGAGACAATTACTTAAAGCTCTGGATACAACTGTCATAATCAATAGTGTAACGGATTATTGTACATACCTTCGACTTGTTTTGAATATATTAATTTAAAACAAGTGGATTGTGTGCTGTTTGTTTATTGTTGAAATTTATTGCCAACGGGTCACAGACACCTACTGTAAAGAATCCGGCCCTATAAAACCTGACATCTATACAGTGGTATTCTGTTTTCTAGTTTCCTGCATATGAATTATTCAAATAAGCTGTTTTTTTTTTGTTTTAAATTAACTGTGCTGCACCTTATAATTCTTTTAATAATATCTTTATTAAAAACTTTATATTTTAGGGCCTATGGTATTTCATTGAATGACAGTTTATTTTCAGTTAAATCTTTTTTTAACTTTTTAAATCATCACTATTTTTTAACTTTATTATGTTACTTTATCTATAATTTAATTAAAATTGCAATTTTTGTTATTGAAAATAAATGCACTTAACTATATCTGTGATTAGGCCTAGTTGATGAACTCGATTAATGTATTTGATTAATTGAAGTTATGATTAAATTGATTAATGTCATGAAAATAATCAACTAATGAAAATTAGTGTTTCTGATTATTGCTGTTTTTGATTATTCCGACTATCCAAGTCTCATGTTAGAATAATCAATGTGGTGAATGTAATCAGTTAACCCTCAACTGGTAGGGTGAGGTCAGAATGACCCACATCAATTTTTAAGATTGATATTTCGACTCAGTTAGTAATGCTCTCTACATGATATATTCTGTATTCTATCCTCCATCATTTCTTGAGTGTTGAACAAAGCAGATGTGCTGTTGCACTTCTATTTTGTACTACTGTAATAATTTGTTTGTTATTTGTGAGTCACTATGACCCCACCATATTATAACGATAATATTTTTGAAGTTTATTACATATCAGTCATTTTGACCCACCATACAACTTATGATACAAATATTTTACCCTAACAGTTGAAGGGTAATATTGTTACGCCTCTGTGTTCGTTTGTTAATTTTTGTAAAAATTCTTTCCGAAGA